AGATGACTAAGCCATTCGCCATGGAAACAATGCCTAGTCGCCCTGAGATGTTTAATATCCAAAGATTTTAATATTTCTCTGACTTTGATAAAAAGAAAAGACAAATATGGGCAGGGGACTGAACCATTCACAGTAGAAACGATGTTCAGCTTGCCCCAAACTATTTTCATTTATATTCTGCATTTTCCCTTCTCTCTTCTTAATGATATGGCTTAACGCTGGACCATTCACAGTACAAACAATGCCCAGCTGCCAGTTCACATGGAATTATACATAAAGTACTTTCCTTTATACTTAGTTTAATTTATGTGCGTGGTTTTCAGGCTAAGTCATTCACCATGGAAACAATGCTTAGCCTTAGACCAAAAATCCTCCCACAGAATAAAACAAGAATTTAAACTCTTTCAATCAGGCAAAAATCCTCAGAGTTAACTAGAGTAGCCAGGCCATTCACAGTAGAAACCATGTTTGGTTCCCTAGAAAATAATAAAATAAACATAGCAACCGGACCATTCACAGTAGAAACAATGTCTGGTCCTTCAGAAAACAGTCAAATAAACATAGCCCTAAGCCATTCACAGTACAAACAATGTTCAGGCTTTGGTTGGCCCTGTCAAACGCATGCAAAACTGCCTTCCTCCCACCTTTCCCCCATTTCATACCTTAATCTACGTTCAGTCAAAAGTAAACTGAAACTTATGCTTCACTCTCATACATTTTTTCCATTCAATCTGATTAGGTCCTGAAGAGAAAAACAAAAACCATAGGGACAATTCATGCATACATCAATCATACTACAGGGAGATAGGCAAATATGGGTAATAGTGGGTCATACAGATAAAGATGATTTACCTGAAGGTTCCCTGCCTCCAGAACCCCTCCTGAGTTCCGACAGAGCTCCCGCAATCAGTGGGTGGACTCCCCACAGAGTCTTGACGCCGATTTACGGGCTGCAATCCCGCCTGCCGCCTTCCTCTCGTAACGAAGGACTAGACTGAGAGTAAGAAGGGCAGAATGAAGAAATTTATAGTCGCTCAGATTCAAGAATGGTGCTCTCAGTCTCGCTGGAGAGGGTCTTGTAATCTTGGATCGCCTGAGGGCCCTGCAATGGCGGCCAATGTACCAGCTTGGTTAAAATTATGGGTCAAACGGCCGAAAACCGCCTCCTTTGACAAGCTCACAAATCGCAGCAATGGCCATAACCAGTGACCAGCCACAGCAACCACCAACGGTTAGGCAAAGAGCGCGGTGGTTTCGACCACGATACTGCGATTCAAGCTTTGGTCGCGCCGTTACCTCACAGGTGGACACTCCAAT